CAGAAACTTAAACCTACATACAGTTTCAAAGAACCTATTGCATAGAAATTCAGGTTTATTTGCAAGCAAAAAGTTCCTACTATTAATGCCACATCCTAATAATTCAACAAAAATAATGTTGTACAATATTGTGTCTATCTTGTTCACTATGTTACTATTGTTATCTATGGTCCCTTATTTCTCTTATTAACAAGCCATTGATTAGCTTACATTTTTTAGTCTATGCCATCAAGCAATAGTAATGATGAGACTAATCGTTCTACTAGCTTTTTTTCCCTTCCAAAGAAAAAGAAAAAGAAACCATTTTATTATCAATTATGTTATATCAGCATAATTTTGGTAATTTTGATTGCAATTCAACAGCAATGACAAGAAGAAGGCTGCAAAAACTCAATTATATATTAAGCAGACATCTGACTAATATGAAAAGTGGCAAAAAGGCATATCTTCTTGACCAGCTTTGCTCAGATTTTTCATTTTGCTATTTCTTAGTCAAATAGACACATGGTCTAAAGTTGCAGGTACATTTCTTTCACATTGTCACCCAGAGAGGTAACACTGTTGATCTCTTTGCTCTTGCTGAAGACTTTTTTCTTCTTCCTGACAGACCACAGTTAAGTATGTCACTAATCCTGGACAATAGTCTCAGTTTCCCTAATCTAATGAAAAAGATATGATCTACTTATTCAATCTTAGCAAGTGTCATGGTCTACCACCTTTAGTTGTCACTTCAGCTGTATTTATCCTGATGTAAATGAAACAAGATCTCACAGAGTAATTTTAGTCAGCAAAGCTCTGAGGATGCGAAATACTTCATTAGCTAATCCCTAACTAAGTGGGTAATTAGCTCCCCCACTTGTATAAAATGATCCTATATCCATATACCAAAATAAGAAAAGTATATATGCTTATAATTGATCAAGCAAAGACAACAAAAAAACATCTCTTTTATTCTCTGTTTTGATCTGAACAGAGCAGGTTTTAAACAAACAAATGTAAAAATGATTTGTTCATGTTGTTTTTTTGTTCTTTGATGTTTTGGGGTTTTTTTTAATCTTGCTTTGCTATGAATCAAATTTTGAAGTTTATCATGAAAGTAATACAAATTAAGGGTCTTTTCTGGTTTGGTTTTTTTTTGCTATATTTTGTCCTGTTATGATAGGAGTTAGCAATCTCCTCAGAATCTACAGATTCAAATGATAAAGGTCAGGGATTAAACACAGGCGATTAACAGTCTGTGTCCTCTTCAATCTAGCATTTCCACTGTAGATAAACCCATATTCAGACTGAAGTTATAATAAACAGACTGTCCTCAATATCATTTCCCTAGATGACCTCCTCGAAACTGACATTCAAGTATTCTTATGGAAAATTACAGTTTATAAAGTGAAAAAGCAGGCAAGATAATATATACCCACACAAATGATTCTGAAGATCAAGCCAAATGTTTAGAAAGCAATTGGATAAAATGAGAATTTCACTCTAAATATTTTATTTGCTGCAGTTCTGAGTAATTTCTTATGATTATAGGTTTGACATATAAAATAAAAGCAGCTTCCTAGATTTTATCTCTGTTGCTTGTACTGTGCATCTTTAAAATAACTGCATTATTATTTATACTTATTATGACCAAAAAAAGCCCAAAACATCTCAGTGGATTATAGCATTTGCAATTCTTTCTCTTCCAAAGGCAAACAAACATTGAAATTCTCCAGCTATCCTAGATACTCTGAAATATAACTGTTACTTAAGGAAAGTGCCATCCAAACCCATGTGTCCAGTGAATAACAGCAAATGAATGAAAATTGCAGAAATATTCAGTTAGGTATGTGTATCTATTTCTATAATAAATAATATATTGAATAAATTGTTCGCCTAAGATGAAAAAAAGAAGAAAAGTTCCTAACAAAAAAAAAAATTTTGCTTTGTAAGAACATTTTAATGGAGAAAATTCTGACAGGATTCTGCTGCTATTTCACATTTGAAATCCAGAATCTTATTAGTCTAAAGAAAGGCTATGATTAATACAGATATAGACTGTGCAACAGGGCATTTTACTTTCTTTATCTAGGTGCCTGAATTATTTGAAGGAACTATAGATTTATCTATCACTAATTTCACTGTTATTTCTTCAGACAGAAACAGCAACATTTCAAGCTATTTTATTATAAATAACTAAACTTGTCTACCTAGTAAAAGGGGCTGTATTTTACTATTATTTCCATAAGCTTAGACTGGAATAATTCCAGAGAAGCAATTCCAAAATCAGATGAAGGCATGTGTGCATTTATTCTTCAATTCTTTATTGGAAATATATACTTAAAATTTAGTTTCGTTTGATCAAACCACATAAGTGATAAAAAACAAGTCATGCTATAACATATAGTGCAAAAAAACCCAACAAAACAAAGGAAAAAATCCCCAAGCCAAACCTGAGCTGTGTTTTGATTATCACTAGAATTGATTTGATGTAAGCACTGCATATGACCTCAGTTAATTCATGAGAGTTGTTCATCTATTCTTTTCACCAAAGTTTAAAAAAAAGAATAAAAGCATGCATAAAATGATTTAGATTAAGTTTCATAGTCAGAACATTAATTAGGTTTGGATGATTCCGACCACTTTTTCTTCTAGACACAAAACAGTTTCAAAGCTTTTTTAAATCAATCTGTACTTGAGAAAGAATTGAAAATGTGAATTTAACTCAAAGTCACTCAGTTTGAGAAGTTGCTTCAAAAACTAATTTCATGCTCTGTCTCCATAACAACAAAGCTTATTTTTGCCAACTAAGACTCATAGAATGAAGCATAACATCTTTAATCAGATTGTATGGACTACAGTTTAAGGCTATTTATGTTTAGAATTTGGAGACACACTAGAAAGCTGCATATTTTCCTCACCAGAAAATCCAAACAGAGTTATATGTAACTAATGATAAGTTATATAGCATACAATTAAAACATCATGCACTCCATGTATTCACTTCTAAGTCTCTTGTTTCCCAGTGGAACCTGTTAAAACTGCTTGTCATATTTTACAGGAGCAATCCTGCCTTCAGTTCATCACTGACACCTAACCTTGTCTTTTATTATTCACCTACATATTCTTTTATGAATGGGTTTATACTCTGAAGAGGAGATATAAAAGAAAATAGATGACATTTCTATGGTATTTAGTGTAAAAAAAAAATAAATCTACAGCCAGAAAGAATAGTAAACCATACTTTTGCAGAACTAAGTAGACAAAAAGGTCTACAGTAGGCAAAAATAAATTTCTCAGTCCTTTCTATATTTAATCTAACATCAAATGCAATAGCTATTATAATAAGGTGAGTGTTATAGGTTGTTAGTCATTCAGTCCACAATACTTCATTATTACCCATTTTATATCAATTATTCTTTCCCCAGACACTTCTATATATTTTTTCATGTCTAACTTCCTGTATTCCCTAATTAATGAATGAAACTTGCATTTATTAAAACTGATCTTTAAAATAAAACTATTAGCAGAGCTGATATTCCTTCAAAACAAAAGACAACTAAAGTCTAAACCCAGAATGCTTTCTTAGGGCAAGCTTACCCTAGTGACTAATTAAAAGCTGAAGGACAAAATCCAGAACATAAACAAATCTGGGAAAGAATTATCTATGTTATTATCCAAGGAGTGAGAAGCAGTGCAATGAGACTGGAAGAGGGAAAGAACTGAGTCCTTGGTCTACACACACACACACACACACACACACTCACATGTGCACATAGAGCCACATAAACACAGCTTTTCTTTCACAGCACTTGTCCTTTAAGCAGCTTGGTAGTATTTACGTTTGCAAAGCTCCCAGTATTCCCAAACCTTGCTGCTTTATTTTTAGCTTTCAAGTTTTTGCTTCAGCTGATGAGAACAGGCAAAGAAGGTGGTATGTTTATTGCTGGCAAACAGCGTGGAAATTCTGAGTAAAGAAGCCAATCAAGGCAGAAGGATTATAATAATCAAAGTACAAAATTTGCATATTTAGAGTATGGTTACTGGGAAATAACAATGCTTTGGTTATGTAAATCAAACCCTCAGCTAAAGTGAACAGATTTGCATATCTGGGAGAAATCTGTCACGTTATGCATTGGCAACTACATTCTAAGTAGCTGAAAGAACTGGCTTTTAGCAGAATATTAACAATAAGTGCCAGTAGAATTTTTTATTTCCTTGTGATTTAGCATAGACTTAACTCAATTAGCGCCTGATAAAAACAGATCTTGCCTATAGGAAGCAATACCATTCCGAACGACCCAAGATACATTCTTCATGCCATAAAGCTACAATTTTTAAGAGGGAGATCATGTAAATATTCAAAGAGTTGTGCATTACCAGTTGTGTTCATCCTTTTTGTCTACAGAAAGTGGTTTAAAGTAGCCCTCTTGAGAAAGGATTGCACAAAACAGATGAAAGTTTGACACCACCTGTTCAGCTCTGCATAATAAAATCATGCTTACTTCATTTTAAATTTAGTAAATGAAGAAAAATAGGTTGGATTGAAAAGTTGCATAGATAAAAAAAACCAAAAAAACCCTGCTGACCGAATTGCTATAACAATTTTATATTTTCTATTAAAATCAAACAGAGTTAACAGTAGACTCAGAGATTCATAATAAAAGAAAAAAAAAACAGCTAGGGAAATTCTCCTTCAAAAATTAGTATACGACAGTATATTTGTACCATTTGTGCATGGAAAAATAAATATGTTACTCTGGGTTAATGTTTATTTCCCCTTTCCTCTCTTGTGAATGATACTCAACTGTATTTTAGATGTAAACTTCAGGCTGCCTTACACACCCTAGTCACTGCCTGCAAATGAAATTGCAGGTTGGTGTTACACTGAAACATGAGAGAATTCATGCAAGCATGTTCAATCTGCAAAGTATTACTTATCATGCCTGTTCAGACACATGATCCATTTCCACAGATAAAACCTGAAGAAAACTCAGCCAGATGCTTAAAAAACCCGGACACTACTCGTGTAGAACTGGTGAGCGCACCGCAGTGTGGTCCTCAGGGTACTTACCATCCTCTGTGGGCACATAGATATTCAAATACAGACAGTCTTCATTTTGATCTTGAACATATGTCACCACAGTATCCAGATTGGCTGTAAACCAGACTGGCAGCATGTCGTTGAGCAGTGACCTCTCATCCAGGTACTGTGGGCAGACAGCAGCAAACTGTGTGGCATTGCGGATACCTGTCCAAGATGATGGAGGCTCTGGGGGCTGAAATCGCCTTTCTCCAGTTGGAGGAGAAGCATAAGGAACACCCAGGTACTGCTCCACGGGCCCAAGGATCTCATTAGGTAAAGGTGTTCTTAAACCACGTATTTTGCCATAATTCGTAGTAACAACTGGGTATTGTGCTTGGCCATCGATGAGAGTAAATCTTATAGCCAGTGCAGTTATCCACAGGAGGAAGTTAGAATTCAACATGACACACACTGGGGTGAAGATCAAAGGCAGCCATAGGAGTCCCATTGGTTTCGACATTATTTAAATCAACATCAGCAGGGCTCTTTTTTCCACAGCCAGAAGAAAATTAATCAGTCAAGGAAAATGCAAACTAATAAAATTAAAACAGTCAAAAGGAGATGAAGTGAAGGAAAATGTAACCTTGTTCAGGCAGCAAAAAACCAAAAGCTGATGTGTGGTAGTGCCTCAGCTGACTGGCTGTAGACAAATCCCAATGTCAGAAGAAAGAAGGGAATGTTTGCCCCCAAGGCCCATCCCAGACTTTAGCGTTGACTTAATCCTGGCAATGCACAGCACTTCCCAGCAAGTAGTGTGGTGAGAGATCCACAGAGAGTTCCCCAGCAAAATGGCTCCTTCCAGTGAAGTCCAGTCCACCCAGTCAGCCTGTGGCAAAGAGAAAACAAGCAATTCAAACCAACAGACAAACTCATATTGGCATAAATCTAAAAAAAACCCCAAATCCAAACCAAACAATTCACACACTACTTCCATGCCAAGGCCCATAAATGTTTTATTAACTTTAGACATCAGTCACACACTACTTCCATGCCAAGGCCCACAAATGTTTTATTAACTTTAGACAACATGGTTAGCTATGTGCTTTCAAAGACAGGTAAGGCAAGAGAGCTGAAACTGAAGCCATCAGCTTGCCAGAGGTTATACCACAAACCAAACATTTCTTCTTCTGTATATGCTTCAAAACCAAAGCACAGCCCCAACATTGCTGCTTTCAGGAAGGGTATCACATTTAAGTGCTAGCTTGAGGACATTTTCTGCCCTAAATAAATGGAATCTCCTTTTTAAGCATATTTGCACTCCCACAGGAAACATTCATTAACTTTTTCCTTCATTGGATAATCTCTCTTTGTTATGATTTGACTTCTATAGAGTGTTTTTCAAAGATAGGACTTTTTTTCTGTATGACAACCTAATTTACCTCTGTCTAATTCAGAAATTACAATGAATGTAATAGCATTACATTAGTTCAAATCAAGTGTGAGAGCAGTTAGTCAAAATTAGATTATAAATTTATTGATTTTCATACCTGTTTTCTTTGTTCTATGTCTGACAGAAAAATGGAAAATGAAAAGGAAACAAAAGTGATATGATATCTTAAAAGTCAGATTTTGACCTACATAGTGTTGCAATTATGTAACATTTCCTCCTTGCATTCTCCTAATTTTAATTTTTAGACAGAAGGCAATTCATGCAATAATTCTGTTGATTTTTAATGAAATACAAGTCACTCATATGTATATGCTAAACATTACAAGTAGTATAAATAAATACACAGCACTTGTTAATACTTACATTCTTCTACCTGCCCAAAGAAATTCAGAAGTTCGTTTTTACCCATTATTCAACTCAAAACCACAGATGACACCTCCAGAGGTAAAAAACATCCTTGTTACAGGAAACTGGTACTGCTACCTTATAGATGTTAGGATTAATGCACATTTATATATCAAAATTATCTAAGTGGATTACCAGGTCCTGCTTTCAGTCAGGACTCTGACAAGGAAAGTAATTTCAAAGATATTTCATTCACTTAAAAATCCTGAAGTTCTTCAATGACTTGATTTAAGCATTCTTACAAAAAATATTTTGAAACACCTGAACACCAGAGGCCAGAAAAATAGCAGATACATATTATTTGTGGTCAATTTCTCAGGGAGGAGCAACAGATCCTATTCCCCTTGATGCCCACACTGCAGAAGTTTGAAATAACATTTTAAGAAATGTACAATACAGCACTGAGAAAATTGACAAGGTGGAAGGAAAGACAATCATCCAGATGATGAAAGATGGAGAAGGAAAAAAAAGTTGTCTGGGCAAACAGCAAATGAAAAAAAGAGGAAAGAAAATAAGAAAAGAAAATGGGAATAACAAATAAAAAAGACTGAACACATTACAAGCATGGAGACAACAAAAATGATAACATGAAGTGGAAATACTCAGTTGATACAGTAGAGATATACAACTGTCAAAATGTGACAGTAAATAGTTTGTACCCACACTAATTACAGTGTGTCTTTGAATCAAGTATCTGGTTATATGTCATTATTTTTAATAGGGTGAAAGGACAAGTAAAGGGAAACATTCATTATTGACCTGGAACAGAATTTGCCATCTTATTCCTTATCTAACAAGGCAGAACAACTGCCTTCTGTTTTTTATGTGGGTATTAAATCCACTCACATGGTGTGGATGTGTCCTATATATTAACAGGAACATACATAAAGTGTTGATTTCTGACTCTTGCACACATAGACATTTAGATTTTAATGATCCTGAAGCTGTAAGAAAATAAATTATTGGCTGACAGAATACAACCAGCTCACTCAGGCCACCTGTCTGAAATGTAAGACCTGCAGCTTTTATCAACCAGTGTAAAGACATAAACAAACAGCACATAATGACAAGTGCACCAACACAGTCAAAATAAATGCCATAGGAGAGCAATTTCAAGATTGTAAGTCAGAATAAACCCACTAGTTATTGTAAAATGTTTTGGTTATTAGAAGTTATTTTTTTAGCCAGTTAAATGACAACAGTTTTTAATAATTTCTTATTAAGCAGATCTCATAAAAAGGTTTACCTAAGTAATAAATTATGTATGACTACTGTATACAACAAGTCCGTAAACAGAAGTCTCATGAAGAAAATTGTTTTGCAAAGAGACTATTACACAGAATCACAGAATCTCTCATGAAGAAAATTGTTTTGCAAAGACACTATTACACATAATCACAGAATTAACAAGATTGGAAGAAACCTTCGAGATCATCTAGTCCAGCCATCAGCCTAGCACCACCTAGCACCTTCTCCCCAATGGCCACATCCAGACAGCTCTTGAACATATACAGAGACAGTGACTCCACCACCTCCCTGGGCAACTTATTCCAATGCCTAACCACTCTTTCAGTGAAATTTTTTTTCTAATATCTAATCTGAACCCTCTCCCAGTGCAACTTAAGGACATTTCCTCTCATGCTTTCACTTGAGACATGGCAGAAGAGCCTGACCCCCCACCTTCACTACAACTTTTTTTCAGGTAGTCTCCCCTGAGCATCTCTTCTCCAGACCCCCTGGGCAACTTATTCCAATGCCTAACCACTCTTTCAGTGAAATTTTTTTTCTAATATCTAATCTGAACCCTCTCCCAGTGCAACTTAAGGACATTTCCTCTCATGCTTTCACTTGAGACATGGCAGAAGAGCCTGACCCCCCACCTTCACTACAACTTTTTTTCAGGTAGTCTCCCCTGAGCATCTCTTCTCCAGACCAAATAACCTCCCTCAGCCCTAACCACTCTTTCAGTGAATTTATTTTTCTAATATCTAATCTGAACCCTCTCCCAGTGCAACTTAAGGACATTTCCTCTCATGCTTTCACTTGAGACATGGCAGAAGAGCCTGACCCCCCACCTTCACTACAACTTTTTTTCAGGTAGTCTCCCCTGAGCATCTCTTCTCCAGACCAAATAACCCCAGCTCCCTCAGCCACTCCTCATAGGACATGTTTTCTACTTCAGCAGTTTTGTTGCCCTTCTCTGTACATGCTTCAGTGAGGGCCCAGAAGTAACTACAAGATTCAAGGTGTGGCTTCACCAGTACCAAGGACAGTGAGACAATCACTGCCCTAGTCCTGCTGGCCACACTATTTCAGATACAAGCCAGGATGCCATTGGCCCTCTTGGACACCTGGCCACACTGCTGGCTCATATCCAGACTGAGGCAAGGAAAGTAAAACTATTCCATTTAGGATGTGATTTCTGTCCAGTCAAGCAGATGATATCACACTTTTCAGTTTATTGGCATTAGTAGAGACATTACCATTTTCATAAGTTTAGTTTCATACATGAAATGCATATACACTCATACACAAAGAATAATTTTCAGTAAGAATATCAAGAGTTAAGGAGGAAGGCATACTACCTATTCATTTGTGAACTATGCTATGCTATGATGTTAGGTGCATCATTAAAAAGGCTGAAAGATGCAAACAGAGTCACAGACTGCAATTAGAGATTCATCTTAAATAGAAAATGATGCACATTTGTAGTATACAGTCAGCGATCTAATATATCTTTACATACTGAGTCTACAGGAAGAATTGTACTTGTCATGTCTTTATCTAATATCATTGTTAGGGTTGTGCTTTCTCCATTTGTTTTTTTACTGCTTCAAATGTTAGAAAAATGTATGCAAACTTGCTTGCAAAAACATCTTAGCTGGAAGTATCACTCACTCAAATAATCAAAAACAATCAATCCAAATCAAAATATTCAGTTTGAAATGACAACTTCTAGCAGCACAACACACAAAGAGAAGTCAGAGAAGATCAGAAATCACATACTTTCATACAGGCCTCCTTTATTGGCAGAGGAGTGTAATTTGAGGCTAATGAGACATTTATGGCCTTTAAAGTAAATGCAGATTAGAGTTAACATGGATGTGCATCTACCAGAAACACCTCTTGTACTTGATTATAAATCTATGCCCCAAGCCACACTTAGAGATGCTTAACTAGTCTATGAATCAGGCCTGAAGGGCTAAACTGATGTTTTCCAGGATCTGCAGTTATCACTTTTTCAGCTTGAGCAGATGATTATGTCAGTAGTTTCTACTAATTCTGTACCTGCTGGGGAAATAGGAGACATGTTTAAAAGTCCTCTTTGCTCCAATACAGAATAGCAAACTAAAGTGATAATCCTAGTTTAGCATTATAAACTTCACTGGTCATGAATATCTGAACTATGTATCACAGAATCATTTTGGTTGGAAGCATATCTTACTAATTCACGTCTAAAAACCCTTTGAAGATTTAAAGTTTACATTGAAAAGGACGTGATACAAATTTAAGAACTATGATGCATCCTTTCTTAGAGTGAAGACAAATGCCAGCTATGCTAACATCATTATGGAACTTGAAGTTGGTCTTAGATGTATTGTTAGAGTAGCTGAATACAAAAGTAGATAACTGACATTATTTTTTTTAATACATAAATAAAGCCT